TCTTTCATTCATGTTATGGGTATTTTTATACAAAGGAAATTTTTTTGTGCCTGTTGAAAATTTAAGTTTACTGACATAGCCATAAAAAATGTTGCTTTATTTATCTGACCATATTGGAATGTATTTGTTAGGTTTTCAGTCAATTAAATTTGGTTCAATAAACAATATGTGGTCATTTTTAAAATTTTCAATGAACATTCGATCAGTCCGGCCCTCGGCTTGCAGCCAAATTTTTTATCTGGCCCTCTGTCCATTTGACTTTGACACCCCTGATCTAAACTGTGCTTAAGTGTTTTTTTTACTTCTGTTTAACTTCCTATTACATTTCCGTTTCCTGTTTACATGTTCAATAAACAAAACTAAAGAAACAAACAAGATGTGTCAAACGGATACCCTTTTTGGGGGGAAATATGGGTGCGGTTTATGCGGGCAGGCGCTGTCATTTAGGATTAATGCAGATTCATCAATAAATGCACACAAGTGCTTTGAAAATGGTGCAGTACGCATGTGTCGTGAATCCGGCTGTAATTTTGCACATATGCTCAACTTGTGCGCAGAGTACGACGCATTTGTTAGTCAATGAGGGACACGAGACAGTCAGGTCCAAAATTTTTCATACCCCATTTTCGTCTATCCCTATTGCAAATTGATGAGATACATTCACGCCCAATGTTATTCATACCCCTCGGGTATGAATATTTTGGGCTCGACTGTATCTACAGCGAATGAAACGGTGTAACAGAAAAATGTTGCTCTGATGGCAGGCTGGCTCTCCAAAAGTTGAGGTAATTCTGTACCTGTTCCTGGGCCGTCCAAGTGGTGCATTATAGCGCCGTTTGATTTGTGCTGCCTTCTCATGTAAAAGATTCTTTCCCTTTTTCCTCGGTTGGCAGATTTGACAGATCCACATGCCTGGGTCAAAAACAAGAAAGCAGATATATTTGACTTTTACACTTGGATTGAGAAACCGAATGATGCAGAGAAACACATAAAACATTATTGTTGTGTTCTAGATTTAATGTGTATGTAATCTAGAAATGCAAGTCTCACCTACTCTTTGAGGCAGATTAGATGAATGATTGACTTTATGGGAGGCTGTAAAGATGCAATAAAGCCACAGGTACAAAGTTAAAGAGGCAGTTCTGTTTATTTACCTTTTGGCATCCGCATGAGGGGAGGATCACAGCACTCCATGTGGAAGCCCCGGTCACATGAATCACAAAATAACATATTGTCCTAAGCACGGAGACACAAACACGTATTGAAGATTCAAATGCACATCTGATTGAAGCAGCAGAGTCTGATTAAACCCACAACATTAATAAGTTTTCTGGGCAGGGGGTTCTTCCAAAGTGACAACAACTTAAACCAGTGGTTCCTAACCATGGGACATTAGCGTTCTGTCAGAAATTATCAAATTTCACTTAGATGGTTGATTTTTTTTTTTTTTTAAACAATAGAATCTATCTGTGTCTATCTATGCGTAGTAAGTGCCAGGCAAAACAATTAAACCATCCACCTGTTTCCATTCATACGAGAGAATAAAATAAGCTTTGTGTTCAACTCCTCAGGCCCAGATTACACGGTAATATGACATCATCAGTATTTCAGTATTTACAGTGGGTGGAAAAAGTATGTCAACCCTTTCAAATTTCTGATCATAAGGACAAACAGAGTCAACTTAAAGTAAACAGCACACAAACAGTTATATGTTTTCATATATTTATAGAGCATTACATGAAAAAGTGGAACGGTCTGAATTTGTCGTTCGATCTTATCACGGCATTCAGAGTAGAGACGTGAATGTCAGTGCTGGAGAAATACTTACGGCTGGGCAGTTTATAACGCCGGTCTACTACTTTGAGCAGTCTTTTAAATTTCTTGTTTTCAACTTTTTGATGGCAATCATGTCTTTAACGAGATAGGTCACTGCCCCAGTTACGTCTTTCCAACGCTTGCTTGTTTTTTTTCATGTGGAGTGCCCTTGTTAAATGACTGTGTTACTGTGGGCTGTACTAGCTTGGAGATTGCGGCTGCCTCTGGCTGCCATGTGTGCGATCTCCACAAGTGATTAAATAGGTTCAGCGTGTTGCCATCCGATGTCCGGACGGCGTCTCTGTAAACTTTGTATATAACTTTGGCTTGCGCCTTTTCCTCCCCACACTATATAGGTGGAGGTTTTTTTTTTTCCCCTCCAGGACCAACTCCGTTTTGTTTTGGCTTACAGCCATGGCTTCCCGCTATATACAAACAAACTGGGAGGAAGGACATCCACTGCCCTGTGGACTGTGCATGATGTGATTGGTTGGTGCACGTCAGCGGCTCTGAGCCCCAATAAAGCTAAACTGGACAGAATGTGCCCTATAGACTAATGATGTTTCAGCTTTATGAGATCGTCAACTTGTTAAAGTCCTGAACGATCTAATATCGTCATATCGCCCACTACTACGTCAATGTCATTGTAGATGCAAGACATGTACATTAATCAAGAAAACAAACCAAAAAAAAGTTGTGTTTGTTCTAATATTTTTGTTTTGGTGTTTTTCTAAACAAAAAAAGAAGTACCAATAAGAATAACGTTAAGGCACCGGATCGATAAGCAGTATCGCAAAGTGTAGTACTATCTTTAAAATCGTAACAATACCCATCCCGATGGATATGTAAAGTCCAAACCTCAATGCAAGTGAGATGCTGTGGCATGACCTTAAGAGAGATATTCAAACCGGACATCCTAAGAACCTTGATGAAGTGTATCAGTTTTGTAAACACCAGAAACAAATTGGGTGAGGTTATTTATTTTCCGTTCCTCAAGATTGCTAAAGATCCAGCAAAACTACCGGAATTATAGTCAGTTTGCTGGAATTATAGTCAGCTTGCCGGGTCCACATGTGGAGTTGCTGCTGGCAAGCTTGCACCTTGCTCAGTAGCTTGTACGCTTCCTTTCTACTGTCTCCCGCAGCGCATTTTGATGCGAACGGAACATGGTGCGTGTCAAAGTGCCGCTTTACATTCGACTGTTTCATCGATGGTATTTTGTCATTGCAAATTAGACACACTGCAGAACCTGTTCTCTCCACAAAGACGAATCCTTTGGTCCATTTGTCCTAAAGTGTATCATACTCGTCATCTTTTTTTTCTTTTCGCTATTTTATTCGGCGAAGGATTAGCTTTGAGCTAATGACCGAGCGGGCTGATTCAAAAGGGGGTGTTTACCTGTTTCCCTAGCAACGGCCTACGTAGGCCAGTATCATCCAATTAAAATTGCTCCTGCCGCCAACTGCAGCAACCGAACGTGAGCAGTGAAAAATCGATGGATGGATTAAACAAGTGAGAATATTTAGTTTTATCTGAGAGCCAGATGCAATCATCAAAAGAGATACATATGGCTCACCAGCCATAGGTTCCCGACCCCTGCTGTAGACGTATGTAACAGAGGATCTGGTAATTTTTCAAAATTAAACATCTTTCAGGTTCCGAAATAAATAAAGCGGAAGTAAGGTAAATTACTTATCCTTTCAGTGCGGCCCGGTACCAAATGACCTATGGACCGGTGCCGGTCCGCTGCTCGGGGGTTGGAGACCACTGATTTAGATGATGATAAGATTAAATCTAATGACGATGCAAAAAAAATTAATACCAAGTGGTTCACATATTTTTTCCTCCCACTGTAAGCTTTTTGTGACACTGTCCTTAAATTCAGCTCCAAAATCAACCTGAATACTTTTAATTATACATGGTGGAATGATGTCAAGGATAGACAAATTAAATAAGTGGAAATAGCAACAATCCTGCAACCCCGGTCCATTATTTAAATGTGCTGGATATTTTGACTTGAAATATGACAGTTTCAGGTCATTTACTCATTAAAATGTTTCATTTTCTTCTTAATGTATCAAACATTTGTGTGATATTAAAAACAAACAAATCCCCCCCCTAACTAATAAGCATTTGGTTGTGTCTTTGAATTGCAGTGATATCTCACTTCATACATCTGAATAACAATGAAGGCAAGCGGACAAAAATAGCACAATCTTAGAACTACAGATAGTATGTCGACCATCATCTCGATCTGGCTCTTAAGCAAAGAACAGAGCCTACACTGGCACTGTTCATGTGTCACTTTGCCATATTCGCTCATCCACTCACCGCATTCTTTCCTTGATCCTGACAGCTACTGCAGGTTTTGCATTCGATGCACTGCCACCACAGTGCCTTGACTCTCACCGTGAGTTCTGGGGAGAACTTGAGACAGGACGGGTGGCCTGCAGACAAGTACAAACGCATGCACAAACACGTACGTCAATGTTTTGTGGTTGCTGACTGACAGTGGTGACCCGCTTAAATCATTATCGAAGGAAAAACATTTGGGAGTTGAAACATTCCACAAATGCTCACTAAATCCAATGTGCCCGCGAAACAGTCAAAAAAATGACATGCTGTCAGACAAAAGTCTGCTTTGGTTTTGCTTGATGAGCAGCCAGTGACAAACCTGCTGCAGATGAAAGGAGGTACACTATCTCCCTGCATCAATTTAACAATACCTTATTTAGCAACAATAGTCACAGAGAGATTACATATTGGTTACACCGTGGAAGAAGTGAAATTGTCTGAGAAATGTCATCTGTGGATATTGTTCCTCTTCATCTTTTAACACTTTCATCACGAATACGGATGGAAATGAATGTCAATCATGCCTTTCAAAGACAGCCACATCAATGTTTTGAAAGCTGTTAAGTCAGCTCCTTTTTTGTGTGGTAATTTTTAGAAATAAATAAAACAGCATTAAAATTGAAAAAAAAATTAAAATTTGTTTTTTAGTCTTCAGTTTTCACTACCACCTGGCCTTGTTTCCTATTGCTCTATACTAGACAGTTAGTCAGTCAGTCAGTCTATCTATCTATCTATAAATCTATGGAGAGAGGGAGAGAGAGAGAGGGAGAGGGAGAGGGTGAGAGAGAGATTTTTGAGCAGCGCTTGAGTTAACTAACATTCGGAGTGAATGTGCACCCCCAGAGAGTATTTCCAAACATGCCCGAGAGTGCGATACAGGAAACTCCTTTACTTGTACACTATGTACACAATATAATCTTATTGCAAGAGTTGACTGAGCTCTTGTTTCAACGAAGTCACGCCACTCTCGTTCTGCGTGAGTATGCTGCACACACTCGCACGCGCGCACGGACTTTTGTCATTAGTTTAGATGGGGCTTCTTTGTTGCTTTGCAGGCTGCTTCGCTGTTTTAGCAGCTTCTTCGCTGGTTTAACTACTACTTTGTGTTTAGACACGGCTGCGCGCTGCCGACAACACACACAATGTAGCGGTCGGCATTTGCTTTCAGATTGTTTTCTATCGAACATTTTATCGAAGGCCTTTTCTATTGATATCAAACACGTGTCTACCACGATACATACTGAGAACGAATTATCGCCCAGCCCTACTTCATTGGTTCAGCTCTATGCGCAACAAAGGCGTATTATACCTGTATATATTTGTATGCATGCACGCACACACATTTTAAACGGACACTCACCACTGTTGCCGCAGTCTGCACAGGAGATGAGCTCCTCAGGCTTCTTATCGCGATTCTGCTCCTTGGTCCCCAAACAGAAGCTACAAATAGGGATGGGCTCTGCCACCGGCTAGAAGGAAAGATGGAGAAAGTAAAAACAGGAGGTCAACGTTACAGGGTCAATATGGGGTCACAAAGGGAGCTTGCGTGCCCTATATGGATAAGGGTGGCTGAATGTGTTCGGAACATCAATGACTGCTTTAACGAATGTGAAAGCCAGTCACAAAAATTATTATATCAACTTACCGCTCAATCAATCAATCAATAAATGGGGTACGAAAGTTTTTTTCTGGACTGGATAAATTGTTATTTACATGTGTGTTTGTTGTCATACGTCATCAACATTCAGTTGCACTTAATTCGTTCCCACTGTTCTCAACTAGCTTGCCGCTGTGGGAGGAGGGACACGCACGCAACGCACGCACGCAACGCACGCACGCAACACACGCACGCACGCAACGCACGCACGCAATGCACACAACGCACGCACCGCACGCACGCACACACAGACTGCACGAACAGTGTCAATGCAGAGAGAAAGAAAGAATTGGCGTACGTGAAGAAAAAGTTTTCCGGCAGCTGTAGTTTTGCAATTACAGAAAGTTGGGGGACATAAAAATAATTAGTTCCACGTCTAATGCCACAGTGGGAACATTTTGGATTCAAGGCAGATGAAAGCGGAGTGGGCTGCTCACATCAACCAGTCACTCATTATGTTGCAACACGAGGAACCTATAAACCATTTGAAACTCGACCAACCCGCCCACTTGCTTCAGCTGCTAACAAAAAACACGCATGTCGGGCAGTCCTTTAGCTAACAGTGAGCATTACTTGCTTTATAACCGAAGAGATGCATCAATTCAACACTGTTGAGAAATATCCATTTTAATGAGTGCAGCGGACTTTTTGAGAGAGTACAAATTGCCAAAAAAAAACAACTTTTTTTTGAAAAATTTTACTAGAAAATCATTTCGGATCAAAAATCAATTTGGAATATAATCATGACCCCAACAATCTGAATCGGATTGCCAAGTATTGTAAGACTGTCACCACACCCCTGCCCCATTTTATTTAATTTTATTCTTGTTTTAGGCCACAGCAAAAGCAACAGTGTCATCATAGTCCAACAAAAAGCAAAAGAGCAAATCGGTAACAAAGGTCAATTTTGCCTGAAAGCGAGTTCTGAAGAAGAACATTTAATTAATCCCACCCAAATCTCCCATTCAAATTATACATACAAAACACTCTGCTACTCCAACCTTAAGCCTCGATGACAAGTAAGTACCCAGGGAGCAATGAACATTACATTATCGCAAAGAAAATATGATGGACTGAGCATGGTGGGGTTGTCATAGGAAACACAGAAGTATTACTTGTTATCACAATAATATACAATAGAGGGAGGTAAATGTTGCCAGCAATAGTCAAGACAGCATATACCAAATAATGGTAAGAGACAATATACCAACAATGATAACCAACAAACATGCACACATTTACACTTGACAGACAGCACTGCCATCTTAAAACCCCTTGTCAGTAGAACATAACCGGACCATTTGTTCACACTTTAAATCTGTGAATATTTTTGCATTGTTTATGTTGTATGCACAGATTATTATTCCAAACTTTCACACCACTCGCATATACACAAAACAATTTCCAGAGTAGTATAGTAATCTATGGAATGTGATAAAAGCTGCAAGTGTGGGTCAAGGTCTTTCAGAAACAAAAACTGCAGCTTTGTTGTTTTGATTACAAGCTGCCATGAGACAGCCATTTGTGACTTTTAGAGCAATGTGTCATACACTTGCTGTCAAACATACCAGAACGGATAGTTTGAAGTTATCCATTCATCCATCCACTCGTCCATAGACCGATACATAACATGATAATGCCTTTAAAGTGATTCACAATGGAACAGCGTTTATATATTCTGATTGCGTGAACAGCTGAGCGTATTAATTAAACAATTTTTGAAAAGTAGTCCATCCAGCCATCATCTGATCTACTTATCCTAAGGAGGGTCGCGGGCGTGCTGCAGCCTATCTGCCTTTGGGCAGTAGGCGGGGCACATCCTAAACTGGTTGCCAGCCAATTGCAGGGCACACAGAGACAAACAACCACTCACACTTAAAGTCACACCTAGGGAGAATATAGATATAGCTAGCAATCAATCAATATATCATACATGTTTTTGGAAAGTGGGAGGAAACAGGAATACCCGGAGAAAACCCATGCGGACACGGAGAGGACATGCAAAAAGTCGACCCAAGAGGGCCGAGGCAGATTCAAGCCCACAACTACATGCTGACAGTGTGTGTATGTGTGTGTAATATATATATATGAATTCCCCCAAAGCACTTCAATGTGCATCAATTGTGCAGACCATCCCAATTCGTGAGCCGGCTGTCTGCGGGGCTCCACTGTACATTAAAACGTACCTTTAATGAAATGCCAAGGGATCATTTGGGATTAATATGAGGCTGGGCGGTATATCGTTCTCACATAGGTATCTTGATATAAGCAGTGAAGATAAAGGGATAATCAGGCCATGATGGCCCATTTTTCACTAACAAGCGCAATTTGTGTTTTTAAATTTTTTTTAATCAGTAATGTTTCAGCTTGCATTTTCAGTGTTATCAATTTGTTTTGGAGAAATCAGTAAATAAATAACTTTCAAAAGGCCCCTCCTCTTCCCCAAGACTTGTTGAGAGTCTCATGGAGAATGACAGAAATCTGTGATGAGAAGCTGATTTAGTGATGAAAAGCTGAAATTCTGAGGATTTGGACAATTTCAAATTAAAAAAAAGGTATTTAATGAAATGATGAATCAATTCTCAATTAACATGATTATCTGATAATCGATTAATCATTGCACATTCATCTAATAAGGACACGCTATAAAAAGTGTAATATTTGAGCAAACTATACTATTTTCAAGAAAAGTTTGTTTTGGGGGGAAAATACTTGATTCAAGCCATTTTCAATTGCAAAACATAAGTACATTATCCAATATCGGTACTCTGTATCAGCGAGTGCTCAAGTACTGATACACGGTCTGAAAAAAAGGCCTAGTGGAGCATCCCTAATGTTGACAAACGTGCTACGAGAAGATAAAATGTGGATTTTGAATTCTAAATAATGAACTCATCAATTCGAAATAACACTTTCAGGGTTGAAATGAAGATGAAAACACGTTTGGCTCTTCCAATGCTGCTTTACAAATGTCTGTACTTGCATGGCTATAGAGGCAGGGGCAGCGGGCAGGTCCTGGCAGGGAGGAGACAAGAGGCAGGAGCTTGATTTATTGGATTCATTTTCTTCAGACTCAGCCACCTTCTGACTGCCTCCACTAACCCCACCCTCTACTAACACAGCCACCCCAGCACATGGTGAAAGAGGCATTGCGTGTGGGTGTCAGTAAAACGAGGTCAACAATTAAAAGAGGGTTGTAAATAATAGGCAACAAAAAGAGGGGTGAATTGGACACGCAAGGTGATAATACAATGTCTGTACTGCACAAACCCAATTCCAATGAAGTTGGGACGTAGTGTTAATCATAAATAAAAACAGAATACAATGACCTGCAAATCATGATAAACTTATATTTAATTGAATGCACGACAAAGACAAGCTAATAAATTATGAAACTGATACACTATTGTTTTGAGCAACATTTTAATCTGTGACTTTGAATTTCATGGCTTGCCACAAATCGCAAAAAGATGGGTCATGTTTGAACATTAAATGTCTTTGTGGTGTATTCAATTAAATATAGGCTGAACATGATTTGCAAATTATCATATTCCGTTTTCATTGATGTTTCACACAGATGTGTCGTAAACAACAGAGTGGATCAAGTACTGGACAGCATGAAAAATACATTTGCAAACAAATTAGTGTCATTTTGCTAGCATAAAAAGAAAGTCTGACAGATGCTTATCAAAGTCGTTAAACAAATTTCAATGTCCGTCCAATGGGAAATGGCGGAATGAGACAAAAGGATCATACATTCAGCATGGAAGGAAGAGGCAAGAGAGATGCATGCCTCAGTCATTGCTGACATTTCACTCTTTCACTGCCAAGTGGGCCAACTGCACAGAAGTAAACAAACTGAGCCAGCAACACAGCTTTCCGGACATTTTGTGTGGAGAAGCACATTGCAGCTTGTTTTCAGCTACCAGTTGCAAGTGTAAGTATAGCCCAAGCAGATCCTAAAAAAAAAAAAAAAAAAAAAAAAAAAAAATTACACGCTAATCCCCTCACGGTGACAGGGATTTTGAATCATTGAAACACAATCTTCAAGTTCCTGCTGGGAACAATTTTGCTCTCTGGTTAGGCATTTAATAAGTCAACATAGCCCTGCTTTCACATTTCTACAAACAACAGGACACTGGAATCAGGTACTGGATGCTATTTGACATTCCATGTCTATTCTAAGCTGTCAATTTGTGTGAGGCACTGTGGTCCTTTATTCAATTTCAGCAATATACAGTGACAAACTGTGACACCCCCGCCCCCCACTCCCCAAGCCAAAAAAGTACTCCTCACAGCTGTTACCAGTTAGCGAGTTATATTAAATGGTGGACTTGGACTTGAAATGCGACCTCAGTGTTGCTGCAGGTAAGTAACACAAACAGGCAATCAGGTCTGTGCAGCCAGCAAATGCAAGCTTTTAAGACAATGGTCGGCAATTGGCCGCCAGTGATATCTGGCCCACCAGATGACATTGACCAAAAAAAAAATTACAATCAGGGATGTCACAAGTCACACTATCAAAAGTTACTCCATATTACCGTGGTCTTGTCTCTGTTTAACTAATGAGCCGCTCAGCTCAAAATGTAATTTTGAGTTGTGTCTTAACAACATAGTCCGAAAGTTCAGGCGCAATTACACGAAAAATATCTCATGCGATATAAACCAAGTCTTTCTTTTTCTATTTATCTATAGTTACATGGTGATAGTGCAACTCTGCAGTGTTTAGTTTTTGGTTTTATTTTAAAATAGACATTTACAGTTAAAAAAATAATAAAATTAAGGCCACAGTATCGCCCCTAATTTAGGTTG